GCAACAATGAATGAATGAAAACCCAAAATCTCTGTAAATGTTCATTAAAACTAATAAAATTTAATAATAATAATAAAAAAAGAAGTTAACGTGGTTTTAGCAGTGAACACTGCACTGACTGAAAATTCTGGTATGACAAAGAACAGGATGGTGGAAAGGAACCTTTGCATTTGTTGCCAGCAGGAAGTGGATGAAGATATCTAAAAGAAGAGATAAGGTATAAGACTGGGACTGGGGATGGAACAAAAGAAACATGTCCTTCAGTGAAATGAAAGGAAATGACAACAGAAGAAACTCTAAGAGTTGAAAATGACTGCCACTGAAAAACAAACACACACACACACACACACACACACACACACAAATGGAGGGACAGACAGGGGATGCAAAGTAGGGAAGTCTTGTTCTTAACAAGGCTTGAATAACTTACTTTTTAAACTACTTGTATAACTGACTTTGGTACAAATAAAATCTAAATTCAAAAAGAAAGTAAATGAATAAAGCCTCTTTCTGGCTATTTCTACACTACCTAGCAATGGGGATTATTTACAAAACAGCAGTTGCACCCATGTTTTTATTGTTCACAAAGCTCCATCTATTTCAAAAGCTTTCCAAATCTCTACAGCCAGCCTTAAGGACTCTTTGTTTCCCATGCTGTGTGCTAGTTATTTTGCACTTATCGTGAGTTCTTTGCTTAAAAATTCTGCTGATCCACCACTGGGTCATTTACCCCAAACAAATTCTAAAAATAATTGTCTCTTGTCCAGATTAAATACTGTTATCTCTACAGCTGTTGTGCAAGTCCAGACAGATGGCATGTTAATAACTAATGGACTAAAATGACATTTTTTTCCATATTTTTCATACAGAACATTTGTACATAGAAGTACCTCCAGTTCTGCATCTTAAAAGGTATATCTCAAAAAGAAACCAAAAAAACACAACAAACCCTGAAACTCATTACCACAGAGTCAGTGCCAACTCATAGTTGGCCCTTCAGTGGGTTTGGGGGACACTAACACAGGTAACTGCCATCTTTCTGCAGTGGAGCAGCTGGTGAATTCAATTGACCACAGAGGTGCCACCTGTGGCTTGGCAGTGCACACTCCATAGGCACCACGTCCTCAGAACATAAAGTGTATAGTTAAAGCAAACTACATCCATTGTTACTGGACTTTATTCCTTAAAAAATAAAATTCCTTTTTGCCTTTTTAAAAACACATTCTATCTTAAGTATAGAATATTGACTATATAAGCAGAGCCGTTTAAAATAAAAATCATTACACATGTACAAACATATTTGAGAATGCACTCAGGTGTAGGTATTTAGATGATACTATACCTTGGCTTGAAAAAAAGGCATGCTGGGATTGATGGAGGGTCAGAGAAAGGACAATTCAACAAGACAGGCTGACACAGAGACTGTAACAACAGGCTCACGTATATCAGAGACCATGTGGAAGGTGCATGATAGGCCAGGTTTAGACCTGTTGTTCAAATGGTCACTGTGAGTCCTCGTCCACTAGATGGTACCTAGCAACAACAACATACCGTGGCTAGTGATTAAGTGCTCGGCTTCTAACTGGAAGGCTGGAGATTCAAACCCACCAGGAACTCCATGAGAGGAAAACGTCTGTTTTCCTTATGACCCCCATTTGAATCAACCCAGCCTTCTATCTGGACATCTGTCAAGATTAAAACCCACTTACTGCTCTACAGAAGAAAGCGGGGCCATCTTTTCCCATTTACAGCCTCTGAAAATCCTTGGGAGCTGTCAGCTATGAGCTGGTTCTTACTCAATGGCCTTGAGCTGAATTGAGCTGTCAAGTCAATTGCAACTGATGGCAACGTTCCACTAACTTTCCAAGGCTGAAAATCTTGATGAGGGGAGAGACTGCCTATCTTTCATCCACGGAGTAGCTGATGAATTCACACTGCTGACCTTTGTTTTGATGAGTAGCCCAACCTGTTACGTGCTACCCCACCAGGGCTATAAAGAACGCACACTCAGCCTAGGAAATCCTCTGAGACATTTTTTTTTCTTTGGTTTGAGAAATAACAATTTTTGATCCTTTATTGATACAAAGTTCAGAAATTTTCCAGTTACAGAGAATCACGAGAATTGCAACTGGACATGAATGAGACATTTTTTTTAAACTGTGTCACGTATGCTCATTAAGAGTTGGAATTGATTTATGTTCCAGAACAGCTGGGTGGGTTTAAATAGTCTTTCAATTAGTAGTCAAATGCTTACACCACTGTGATGCCTGTGCTCCTTGCACACACATACACACACAAAGGGCTATCTCTGTTCATCTTTCTCTGAAGCTGGTGACCTGTACAAGTCACTTAACTTCTGAGTTTCTTCCTCTATGAAACTATGTTGGTGGTGGTGGTGGTGGTGGTGGTGTTGCGCACCAGCGAGTCCAGCACAACTTGTAGCGACCCTATGAACAGACCTGAACCCTGTCCTATCTTGCGTCATCCTCATCAGCTCCCACATACAGCACACACAAACACATATACACATACACACAAAAAACAGTAACTCTGATAGCCTCTAGTCCAGTGAGCACTTGGTATATCGGACAGTGTTTCAGTGCCTTCCTTCTGTTAACTCATTTAAACTTCTCAGCATTCCAGGGAAGTAGGCGCCACTACCACCTAAATGGGAAGAGTCTAGGCATAGGAGCCTGGTCACCACTACGTTGTGTATCCTCCCTTACAAAGTAGGATGAAACGAGAGCTTGGTTAGCAAGCAACTTTCTCCCTGACATTAAGATGTTTCAGTTGTTAAAAAAAAAAAAAAAAAAAAAAAAACTTAGGGAAAAATGATTTTGTTTCATATTTCTAAAGATCCGCAAAGTCACTATTGGAAATGCGTTCTGGGGTAAGAATTGTAACTTGTGAAATGCACTGGTCAGCAAAGCAAACGGCCACCACTAAATTCACTACAAAAGGGAGAAGAGGGGGGCGGAGTCAAGGGCTATGAGAACATCTCGGATGGCCCCGCGGGCAGGGGGTCGCGCCGAAAACCCAAAGGCCACGCCTCTCTGGCTGTTCAAATCCACTGGCAGCTCCACCCAAGAGTGAAAGATGAACAGTCTCCTCCCTGTGGGATTCACAGGCTTGGAAATTCTCTAGGAGGCCAGCTTCTAGGAGTCGGCTTCGCACACCATGGTAATGAGTTTTTCTGAGTGTAACCAGCCTTTTGATATTTTTTAAATATCACCCCCGTTGCCACGCCCTCTGAAGTCCGCGAGTCCTGCCCCTGACCTCAAGCCACCGCGGTGAGAATTCTGCAACTTCTGTCGCCGTATGACAGATCCCCGGGTCCCAATTCCAGGCCACGTGCCGGCAGTAGGGACCCCCGGGAGAGTGGGAAACCCTAGATCTAGTCTTTAGTGGACTTTGGGCTGACAAGTACCGGTCCCCAGATCTCCTCTGCGACTCACTCACTACCCAGTTCCGAGCTCTAGATAGCCAGCCAAGGGCTAAAGAAACCGGTGGCAAGGGCCAAGTCTGCAGGGATTGCTATGACCAGGGAAAGGAGTGGGAAAGGACACGTGGGTTCCTCTGCCAGGCGTGGCGAGCCCGTAGCCGCCGGACACAAATGCCCTTTTTCATAATCAGTAGCGCCTGCGCCCCGCCTGCGTGGCTGGCGGGGATTCTGCGCGGACAACCTGGAGTTGGAGCGCAAAAAAAAACTTGGCTGTGCATTCTCAGCGTCAACACCAATGGCCTTTCTGCTCTAAAGAGTGTGTTTACTGAGTCCGAGCTGGTCATGTTGGGGAGGAGGTGGCCGCGCAGCGCTGCCCTTGCTGGCTCCCCTGACCACCCTCACCTGTTCCTGAGGTCCTTGGGGTGCACTGTCCTCCAAGGCGAGTGCCCAGGTCGCTCGGTTGTCCTATGTGGGCAAGCCCACGCACGGCAACACCCAAACAGAAACCCGGACGCAGGGTGCTGCGAAATTGAACCTCTGATGTGGCAGCCGCGTGGGAGCAGAACTGGAGCAGATTACCCACGCGCTGTCCTACCCTGACGCGGAAAACCAGGGTACCGCGTGTGGTGGGCGTCTTTGCTCGCCTACCTGCATTCTATCTACTCTGTGGCCCAATGCGTTCACTGGGAGCTTGCGCGGTTATGCCGCCCTGACCATACATTCTTCTGCTCCCTAAAGCCATAGCCTTCGTCTTGGGCTCTTGGTCAAGCTTGGATATTAATCCAAACACCCACACTCCCACGGGGGAACTTGAAGTGTGAGTGGAAAGGAGATTTGCGCCCGCTTATGCGCTCCGCAAAGCCTGGCTCCCGGCATTTTAGAGCAGACGTTTTAGAGCGCAAAAGGAAGGCAGCATCCCCTGAGTGGCAGACATCAAGGCATGTTTGGTGGGAACCATAAAGCTCATTTGGTGGGAACCATAGAAGCTCATTTATAAGGGGCTGGAGGAGCCGTGGAATGAGGCGGAAATAATGAGTCTTTAAAAGAAATCAGGAGTCTGCGGAAAAGAGCAACCTGGACCCTCAGTAGCCAAACGCGTATTCAGAGACTGCTAAGCTGGGGGGTGGGGGGTGGGGGTGCTCACTGGTCCGGGGCTGGGAAGTAAGTTCTTTTGGCCTCAGCACGTTTCCAGGCTCTGATGGTTGGAGCACCCCAGAATGTGCCTCTAAGCACCAGCTCTATACTAGCGAAGGTAGAGGAAGCAAATACCCCCGCGTTTAGACAGCACCTGTTGACCAGGACTGGCTCCTACATCCCTCCCTCGGGTTCTGCCACCTCCTCAGACCTATAATGTGCACTTCTAGATTTCGGTAGGCAAGCGTTCAAAGGCGTCCTAAGCAGAGCCCTGGGAAGGGCTTCGAGCGCTCTCCCAAGGCCCACCATCCCCGGGCCCTGCGTTCCGCAGAGGACAGCGCCCCGCGAGCCGCGGTGGGTGTGTGGGGACAGCCTCCCTGAGTCCAGATATTGGAATCGGAGTCCGGGGCCAGTTCCGACTCACCTCGCTCGCTGGACTGGATATAGCGCACGATGTCGTCCAGGTCCAAGTCCTTACTCTCGTCGAAACTGTAGGCGGACGTGTGCAAGCCTTCCTCTTGAAAGACCTCGTGGACCCCTTCGAGGGTGAAATAGCAGTTCCGCTCCAGCTTGTCATCGCTGTAGACCAGCGCGGCGCGGCTCCACTGGTGGTGGCGGAACAGGGCGAGCATCATCTCGCCCATCTTGGCGTAGGCAGGCGCCACGCGCGTGAGGTGCGAGTATTCGGTGTCCTTCTGTTGGAAGCCGGCGGCCAGTGCCCCGGCGGACAACATGGGCAGGTCCCAGTGCGACGCCAGCCGGGCCACTGGCGCCGCTGCGTACTCGCACACTGGCCCCAGGATGAGGTCGGGCTTGGCACCCCGCGCCGCGGCCACTCGGTCCACCAGGCTGAAGAGCGCACGGTTGCCGCAGTCCGAGTCTTCGTAGGTTACCTGGAATCGGGTGCCGGGCGGTAGCAGCCGCCGCCCCGTCCCGTTGCCCTCCACGCTCCGGAGCGCATACTCGATGGCCGGCCGCACCCGGGCCAGAGAGAACAGGTACGAGTCGTCCTGGGGCAGCAGCACTAGTACGTCGATCTCCAACGGCGGCAGCGCCTCTCCTGCCCGGTGCCCGGCGCCCGAGTCCGCGCCCCCGCGGTCGCCGCCACTGGTGCCACCGGCCAGCACCTCCCAGCCGAGCAGGACGCACGCGGAGAAAGTGAGCACCAGCTGAGGCTGCATCGTGCCGCTAGCAAGCGCCTGACCTGGCCGCCGACTCGCCCTCTGCCCCTCACCCACCCTGTCGCGCCCCTCCCCAATCTTCTCCGAGGCCCCTGCGCCCCCTTGGGCGCCTTCAGAAAACAGAACTCCCCCCCAGCGAACTCGCCAGAGGACTGAGAGAAGAGTTCTTCTCTGCAGTGTCAGTACTTTCAAAAAAAAAGGAAAAAAGAAAAAGTTCACCGAGTGTAGACCTATGCTCCTGTAATATCTTTATATATATTCTTATTATAAATATATATATTCGCGCTCCCTATATATACACACACACACACACACACACTATTTTGCTTAGAAGTGGCTTCTTATTTGGACGTCGCTGAGGCTGCTTTTGAAAGCGTATTTGTAAAAGAGGAGAAGGAAAAAAAGTTAGACTTGTCCAAGTGCTTGTAATTGACGGTGCATCTCCCTCGCGTTTGATCTCATTGATTCGCGCCGGTTCCTGGATCCATAGCCCGCGTTTAAATAGCGTGGCAGCGGCCGAGCGTGTTGCCACACATGGAGCGCAGCCGCCGGGCTTGTATTTCCAGCGGGAGGGGTATTGGGGGTGGGGAGAGGTGGGGGCTGGGCTGGGGGAGCCTCTCATTAACATTCTTACATCAGTGCTCCTCCCCGCACCCCCTCCCATCCAGACGCCCTGCTCCCCCGCGGCCCTGGCCTTTTTTTCCTTAAAGCCGTAGCCGCCCACGTCCACACCGAGGGGACCCCCGGCGCATCGCGCCCCAGCTGTCCGCATCTCTCCACCGCCGCACACGCGGCAGCGCACGCTTCAGCTCTCCACCTTCCAAAACAAATGCATTCAGTAGCAAAGAAATGCATGCGCCATAGACACATGCATACATTCACACACCATGCAAACACACACACACCGAGTTTGGGAACGGGGAAGTTCTAGAAATTTCTATAAACTGACAGTATCTGTGCAAGAATTCCTAAGTCCCTCTAGCTCTCACCTTTCTTGCTTTGGCCACATCGTTTCGGATGCGCTCACTCTGAACAGGCTCCGGGCTATCCCCGTCCCCCTGCGCAAGGTCAGCGAGCAGAGTCCAGTGCAGACGGCTGGATCACAGAGCAGGGGCGCGGCTGGCGCCAGGCTAGCAGGGGCGGGCCCCGCACCTCTCCCCACACCCACTCAGCTCCGGGCCCCCTCCTTGCCCACGCGGGTTTCGCGCTGGAGAAGCAGGGACGCCAGGGTCTCATTGCCCCCTCTCTCCCGCTTACAACACTCCACCGGCGCATTGGTAGCAAGAAAGCGAAACTGGTGTCCAGAGGCGAGGCTGCAAGAGAGCAGTTTGGCTTCTGAAAGCTTGAAAGATATCCCGAAGGCTTTAGGACTTTGGTTGCAAAACCAGGTAAATAAATAAAGGCATGGTCTCCTTCAATGGTCACCTGGGCGCTAGTGCAGCCCCACTCCAACCCACGCCCTGGGAAATCCAACTGCTTCTTCCTCCTGGCGGGGCACCGGCGACTCCCTGCTCGCGGTTCTGCAGTGTGAGGAAAGATCTTGCCTGGCAGAGCCAGTCCTGCCCCTGGCTGCAGTCACAGCAGCCCAGAGATCAGGCTGCAGACCGTCGCGTAAAAGCTTGTGGCCGGAGAAGCCTCGCTGGAATCCGCCGTGCGGTGGGGCAGGTCCCAATGGAACTTAACCCTCCGAACATGACGACACACCAACTTTGTTTGCAATGTGGACGTGCTACATTGGACCAAATAATTTAGACACCTAAAGCCGGGAAATTACAAGAAATTTAGAATGCTTTAAAATGTGCTTTTCATTTGGCTGGACTTCTGTGTCCACAAATTTCTGGTCGTCTTAGACCAACGCCCTCTTTCGGCAGAAACTTGCACTCGACCTCGTAACATGGGTGCCTTAGCTCCAAGCGCTGCATATTTTAACTCCAGGGCCCAGATAGATGCGCTTTCGCTCTCATTGGTGGCGGTGAGAAAGCAAAATGGGGTTTCCAGAGCGCTCCCCAGGTTACGAGCACCCATACGTATGTCTCCTTCCAGCACGGTAAATAGGTAGGGCGTCTCCTGGGTCATACAGATTTCAGACTGCATACTGTCATTCGTGGGTCTTGTAAATTTTAGATTATGCACTGTGATCCTAGAGGAGTCTTCCACTCTGGGTCACCCCTGAGCGCGTACACTACAGAATTTAGGGTTTTCAAGACTGACGTCTCAGAAGCAGATTACCAGGTCAGCATTCTCTCTGGGTGCGTTCGAACCATAAACCTTATGGATTCTAGTGGAGCACTTTACCATTTTTGCTATCCAGTTTCCAACTCCTGCCGGGACCTCTCCTTAATTAGAACAAAGGCAAAGAAGTATCTCCTTTAAAAAAAAAAATCCATCTACAAACAGCGTCGCCAGCAATCGAATCTTTCCTGAACCAGGCATTTCATGGAATGACAGATTTAGAAATAAAGAAATAAAAAGAACCACTGCTAAATCTCCAATTCCAGAATCTTAGTGAAAGGATTGCAAACCCAGTTGCCAGGAGACGGGGAGATTCCTCTTCTCCCCGTGCGAAGACCTGCGTCTGGGAACGCGAGCCCAAGGCGATAGGATTCTGCAGGGTGAGACGTGGAGTTACGAGCAGAGGTCGGGGCTCCCGCGGCACCACGAGAACGCCTCCTCGCTCCCCAGCGCGGCTCAGCCTCGCCCCCAGCTTCGCAGCGGGACTGGGCGCTTACATTTCGCCCAGGACCTCAGCCTCTCTGTGACCTCGGGTCTTAACTTCCGGCACGTCACTCAGAAGCGCCGAGAAGATGAAGCTAAGGGAGCAAAGAACCCTCCCCCAGGTGGACGTCAAGAGGAGAAAAACCTGGCCACCACGTACCCCCATTAAAAGATGTCTAATGAACAGAAATTAGGATTGTTTAGGAATGCTTTTCACCTGAAAGCAGACGGTAAATAATCCAAGCAGTATCAGCCTATGGGTTTTAGTGTCACATTTTATTTACTTGGATCAATTTGGATTTCTCCAGACGAGCTGAAAGTTATGTGTAAATATCGCAGAGTTCTATAACCTTGGGTTTGGGAAAGACCTTAGCAGTCACCAAGCCTGGTCTTCCGCACTATTAACAAACTAAGGCCCAAAGACTATAAATGACGTACCTGAATACCTCTTCATCCTCAGAGAACAACTTTAAATGGACCTGACTGGCAAATTCACCTAGTAGTGTGTGTGTGTGTGTGTGTGTGTGTGTGTGTGTGTGTGTGTGTGTGTGTGT